ATTTTATGAAAATGAGCTTAACAAAAAAAAAATGATGATGAAGAAGACGATGATGACGAGATTGAATGCATGGTAAATTGTTATTAGATACGCGTATGGCAAATTACTTGTGTAATAGTGACTAGGGAATTTACGATTTAGGCACACAAGAAATAGAGAGAAAGAGAGTGAATGTATTAACAACAAGTTTTATGGTATTGTCAATGGTTGAAGTGAGCTAATTTGAATTGGAGAATAAAAGAGATAACACCATCAATTGCATCAAAGTTGTGGGCAGCGCATACAGCTAATTCTGCAGTTTTCTCCATCTACATTTAGTTCAGCATTTAATTAGAGTTTGAGCGCATATACACACAGAGACACACACATAAACACAGCATAATCTTCATATAAAAGAAGAAAATTAAACAATTAAAATGTTGCAAAAGCGTTGTAAATCACGGTGAACATGATAATGCAGAATGTGCTAGACATGTGTGTATTTTAGATCAATATAAACATCTAATGTATCAATTAATGATAAATATGTAATAAGCTGCATATTTTTCTACTGTTTCTTTTTTATCTATTAACTATTGAAGCTGTTGTTCATGTTCACGGTTTTCTCTCGCTCTCTCTCTCTCTCTCTCTCTCTCTCAACTTGTTAACCATAAACATTGTGGTGTACGCATCAATCAACCAAATTACGGTTCAAAAAATCCAGTAACGCCAAGCAAAAATACACACACATTGAATGAACATAATAAGCTAAAACTTAACTAGCTCACGAAAAAATGATTGTTCTTTTATGCATAAATTATTCGTCTTAAATTAATTCTTGAGGAAAATTGAATTTCTACAACAATAACATACTTGACTAACATTGTACAGACATACATAGTGAAGATGATGCTCGGTGAGAGAGAGATGTGCACGGGTGCGGGGATAGCAGTTTAACAAGCAAAAAAATGTTATGGAGCTATTATGTTGTAATTGAATTTTAACATGAATATTCTGAATAGAATCTATTTAAGTATTTAAATAGTTATTAAGACTCTTGCATTTTGACACTAATTTTTTGTTGTTGTTATTCGTTTCTCTTATTTTATGGTTTTTTGTTTTGTTTTCTCTTCACTTTAAGCGTCCAGACGGTCTGCGTTGTTGAGCATTTTATGTATATCGATTGTGATAATACGCCAGATGAGGCTTATTTCAATCGGTCATCTTTCACACTTCAAGAAGCGATAAAGCAATTAAAAATCATTAATTTTCCATCTCTCTTTCCGACTCTTTGGCCTTTGTAACATGCTCTATCTCTATCTAGAACGAGAGAGAGAGAGAGAGAGAGAGAGAGAGAGAGAGAGAGTTCTCTCCCTCTGTGGCCACTTTCGATAAATGCGATGAAAGAGAGCAAGAGATCAATTAATGCGCATATGTGATAAGAGAGAAAACGAGAAATGCCGTTAAGTGCATGCCCTTCGACACTTGGGATTATACTTGAATAATATCAAAATTGAATATGTTTTTTTTTTTTTTTTCAAAAACATGGTTGTTCTATTCAAGGCGTTGATTGGCCAACATAACCCATTCCGTTTTATAATTTCTATCGTTTGATCGAACAAACAGCGTACTAATCTCCTAATCGGATTGTCAGTGTCGATTCAATGTTAATGATTTATCATACGTTGTTTTTGTTCCCTCTTTGTGACTTCAGTAGCGGCAAAGTGTGGTTTTTTTGTTTAAACTTGCTGTGAAATATTCATGAAATCTCTAAAAATCTGTTTCGATTGAAACCGCTCGCATCTTAATGTGAATTCGGCTTCTGCACAAGAAGAGAGCTAAACAACAAATGAACATACGCGCGTGTGTGTGTTGTGCATATAAAAAACGCTCGTAAAAAGAAGAGATTATAATAAATTGGAACGGTTCGACTAATTGTAATTGCAATTATGAGAGTTAAAGCCATAAAAAATAGTTTAATTAAAAAGAAGTAACACACACTTATATTAAATTCAAATGGTAATTAGAATATTGTATTCATTTAACAGACGATGCGGACAAGTGAGTTAGCGCATACACTTAACGAAGCCAATGAGAAGAAAATTATAGTAAAAAAGGCACATAAAAAAACAAGAGTTTTAAGGGAAAATATGTAGCAGGAATGCAATGCACGTTCAACGCACCGCATCTCATCAATACTCACCGTCAACGGAGAAAAGAAAAAAAAACACGAAAGATAATGAGATTTTTTACACAGATCGGTTTCATTCTTTCGATGAGTTTTTTTTATGAGCGTCACACATAAGAAAACTCGAACGGATTTTGTATATAAACTTTAACCTCTTCTTTAGAACCAGCGACAGCAACGAGTTGTTTTTGTTATTGTTCTGGTTGTTTTTTTTTTATATTATGTATATATATCGTTCGCTTATTTCGTGTTTAAATTACGTTCATGTAAAATTCCATTATTCATAACGAATACACATTGAATGAGTTATTCACTGCACAGAACCGATGAATCTAAGAAATCAAATATTTTAAAAACAACAACACCACAACGAACGACAAATGCAGTGAGGTAGACAGAGATAGATGACAACGTCACCGTATGTTTATGCATGTTTTGAGCATCATGTACATGGAATATTTGTATATGTAGTCTATAATATGCGCGCGCTCATATGCATATGGTGCAGTTTGTCGGTTTTCTGGTTGATTTTATTATTAATAACCACATTGGAACATTTTCAATAACGAGAGCGCGCACATTGTAAATAAAATGCTCACACCAACGTGCTATCCCTCTCATTCGCCCTCACTTTCAAAATCTTGCTCTCGCCAGGTCGTTTTTTTTTCTGTTTGCATCTCATTCTGGTCGCCAAAGTAAATTGCATATATGTGCACATATTGAAAGCAAAAACGAAATAAAAAAAAATAGTCAAGAAAATCAATGTGTTTGGCATTAAAACGTCATATTGTCTGTTTTAAGTTTTCGGCATCGATCCATTTTGTGCAACGACCATGCTGCTCATATAAAATATGAGCTCAATATATATCGTCGCTTTTCAAATGGCTGGTGTCTGTAAATTATTCCATCATTACAAACAATACCCTATTGAGCTCAAGTTTGTGTATGTGTATGCTTCGAACTTAGGCGCAGTTTTTTCTTCGCTTTTCTCTCTCTCTCTATACTCTTGTTCGGTTGCTGTTATTGATCAGCTTTTCTTTGTAGCGCTTATTAATAACCCGTGTGGTTTTTTAGGTGCTTTGAACTGACACCACATACTTGAAGATGTTGCCATTTCATTCGATCCCATAAATTTTATGAGCACAAAAAGAAGAAAAGACGCAAATCGTTACGTCATTCGATTGAGAGGATTGGAAATTAGAGCGCGCAGAACCTTTTTTTTATTCTCAGATTTATACCTATTTGCATTAGAATTTTAATTCGATTAAATGCTAAAAGCATTGGTTTTTCGCTATAAGACTGAACAGAATTTGATTCTATTTGTTTTCTCATCATTGCAATCAAGAACAATTACAACAGTTTAACCCATGGAATTCGAAATAAAAAAACTCAAATTCCCACCGTATCTTTAAAAAAAACTGTGGTTTGCACGATGCAATTTTGGTTACGAATTTGCAATGCCTTCTGGCGAATTGCCTGTACGAATATGCATATGTTGTATTGTTCTCCACGTGCTATGTTTTCTTTGCGTTTTTTATTTTCGTTGTATGGATGAAAACAGAATCGCCCGAAACGTGCATGACAATATAATTTTTATCGCTTGCTAATTGATGCAGGCAGGCGATAATTCCCCCAAAGGTAATTAACCTCGTTGATCATCAGCAACAGCAGCGGCAGGCGCAAACATAATCGCGTAAATATCTTTCGTTGATTCTTCAAGATTGCCGGTTGGTTTGTTTGTTTTCTTTTTTTCCCCTCTTTATTATTTAATGTGTCGCTCCTGATTGAACAGTGCACATTTTTGCTGCTTTTTTTGAATGCGATTTGGTTGGATTTTTTTTTGTCGTTCATTCTGGTGAAACCAATTTTTCATTTACGATGCTTGAATTTACTGAGAAATATATGCGTGAACAGAAACAACAACAAAATGCGAAACAAGTTGGCATGGATTTGTTTGAAGTCGATGAGTACCCCCAAGTGGCCGTTATACTACCAAACGTAAATGAAAATAATTGTTTTCGATGGGAAATTAAACGTATGTAAAATGAAAAACCGTAATTATTACATTACATATATGTAATATGCTTTTTTCTCCTCTTTCTCTCTCTCTCTCTCGCTGCCATTCCTCTTCATCATCATGTTGTTCGATTCTGATGTGTTTTGCTTTCGTTCAACTACAAATCAATTCGCATTCGTATGGTGTGTGTTTGTATGTAGTTTTTTTTTGTAATACCTCTTCACATATATTTTGCGTAAGAGAAAATTGCATATTTAACGGCACTTGCATGAGCACACAGAACCGATACTAGATTTACGACGCGCCACAAACAGAAAATCCATTCAACGAATGCGAACGGAAATGCATTGCTCAAACATCGCTGCAAACATGTAAATATGAAAATATCTTGCTAAATTTGTAGCATTTACGAGCAATTACTAATGATTTAAAATGTATTTGATCAAGAGAGACCGGTAGAGTGAAAGAGAAGCAAAAGCAAAGAAAAAAAACACCTAGTGATTCGGAGCATGTGCACGCCTTTTAATAGAAAAACGTAATGTGTATACAAATGTACTACATTTAACGCGCAAGTGTATCTCGTGCGTTCTTAATCAATCGGATTATTTTACTGATGTTATTTTTTTTTCTGTTTGCATTGGAAATCGCCAATTTTTTTTTGTTTACTAATTTGTACTATGGCAAAATAATATCGATCATTGAAACCGTCATTTTTGATCTCGATACATCGTGTTAATATCGACAATTCAGTTCAATTGAAATGGAAATAATTTTGCGTGCAATTTCAAATTTTATGTAAAAAAAAATTGAACTTACCATTGATGCCGCTCCATTTGGATATGAGTAAAGAGGTGAGATGTAGTTGAAGAGGTTATTATGTGTATCAACTTTTCCTGAAAGTGTCAAAGTTTTTGATTTCATTTGATTATTCAATGGAAACGTATGAAATTATAATTCAATTTAGCAAATTGATGACAAAATGCGTGAAAAAAAAAAATGATTCAAGTAAAGACACTCGAACACTTACCAAAAACTGAACCCTGCTCTTGTCTCGATTGTGATTTCCCGCTTTTCTCCTATGAAAAAAAAGAGACGAAACAAAGTCACGCACAAAGCGAAAGACCAAATGGCGTCAATTGATTGATTGATTGATGTTGGCGGCATTTTTTTTAAAAGTAAATGTTTTGTTTTTGAAATGCATGTGACAAAATATCGAGAGAAATTTTAAGAAAGCAAGAAAAAAAGGAGAAATATTGGTGTGCTGATAACTCACCTCACTCTCCGTCAAATCGATCAGACTTGATTTCTCTTCTAGTAATGATTGCGATGATATTTCTTCGTTCTCTTGTTCGCCTTCGTCTTTGAATACTTTAACTTCGTCGGTGCTGCCCTCATCATTGGGCGATGATGAGCCGGTTGTGGTTGAGGTGCCACCGTTTGTCGATAGAACACCATTGCTCAGACCGACAGTTGCACCGGCGCTTTGTGAATTATGACTATTGTGGGGCATAGTTTATAAGTTTTTTGTTTTATTTTATCACAACACTTGATTTGTTCGTTTTTTTTTTTTTTTTTCAAAAGTTTTCCTTAATTCACTTTCTTTGTGAAAGGTTCTTTTGCTTCGGTCTTTTTTTTTTAATTTTACGCTCTTGTCTTTTTTTATTGTTATTAAAAAATATATTTATTTAAAACACGTTTTCTGTTCTTTTGTCTTTCGGTTGTTTGTATTGTGTTACTTTTTTGTGTTGTTATCGTTTCACTTAATTAATTTCTGTTGGCGCGTTGTGACTTGATTTGTTGATGACGATGATGATGACACATTTCGTTTTCTCTTTGTTTTTCGCTTAAATTTTAATTTTAATTTTATATGCAACATGAACATAAAGTGAATTTACCACATAATTAATTGGCAGCGGCGATGGTGGCGGCGGCGGCGTTGAATGTGTGTATTTGTATTGCCGGCACTCGATTTTCGAACTCTCTATTGCTCGCTCACTCGCTCGCTCCTTTCGTTTGCTTCGTGCTGTTGCTGCTGCTTTTTTTATGCAACGATGTGAATGTGCTTTTCGTATTTGTAATTGAAATAAGATGGCTGCGCACAACGCAAACATAAATTATTCATTTTAAACACTGCTTTCATTCTGTGTGCACAGTCACAACACTTTGTATTTTCAAACATAGATTCTTGATGATTAGTTTTCGCAATTTTCTTCGTGTGGTTTTTTTGTTGTTTTCTTGTCTTCTGATGTCAAAACAAAAATGTTCTCGCTTCATGCGTTGATGTTGACAAATTGAAAAGTTCGTTTTTACTCAGTACACCGACCACGATTACAACGACCATATAATGGTTGTCATACGATTTATTCGACTGATGCGCACGGTATTTTGTCGAATAATGCCGTAAATTAAAATCGTGTTAAGAAGATTATTTCTTTACTTTTTTTTTATTGTATGCGAGCAAAGCACTTTTTTTTTTGAAAAATCAACCAAAAATCATTTTCATTATGTCCACAAATAAAATCTATGCTATGCGAATGTTGACTGATAGAGATTTATTTCGAATACACACTTTGAAAATAAACAACAAATAATTATTCTATTCGAATTATAGTGTAGTTTAAATGAGATGAGAGGGGGGGGGGTACATGAAAATTTATGCTGTTAAAAATAGTATTGTTGACTTTACACACATATTCTTAACGAAACAAACGACCAAAAAAAACCGAATGCTTTTGATTTTGTGTGTGTTTTACTTTAACGTAAAATATATAGAGCAAACATTTAAGTTTTGTATTTTGATCAGTATTCAGCCTTATAGAAATGCACCCAGCGATTGGAGATCCATTTTGATGCCATTTGTATTATAAACTAGATTTTGTTTTGTATGTAAGCAGCGACAATCTCTCTCAATTTTAATTAAATTACACTAAACGTTCTGTGCACGAATCATTCCTTGTTTGTTTTGTTCGGCTGTTGTTTCTTCTTTTTCGCATGAAAACAGTTCATTTAGAGCGTATTTTTTCACTACCTCATTTTGTATGTCCTTTTGCAAATTATCCTTGCACTTATACGGTATTTGTTGTTATTATTATTATTATTATTGCACTTGTTTACATTTTTATCGATCATTCGCTTTCAACTGTTTATCTATTCCATAGTCATTCACATTTGACCGCGTTTGTAAACTCTCTACGGATGTGCTTATGATGATATCTGCAAATAAAAGAGAGAGAGTCAGAAAAAAAACAGTAAATAATATGCTTATTAGTCAACACTAATTATAAACACAAAATATATCAAAGAATTTTGTCGTCGGTTGTCGTATATTACTTCAAACTCTATCGCCTGCATAGATCATAGTCCCGGCGAAAAAGCAAACAAAAAAAGCCCGATCAATGAGACAATTGATTGATTATGTAATTTGTAATGATTTTATGATTGACAACTCAAACAACAATTAACATATTAACGATCATGTTACACACACTCACTTGCTGGCACAGTAGAGCAAAGAAAAGGAAAACAAAAAGAGTCGAAACGAATGAAAGAAAATCAAAGCAGCGTTAAAGACGCCAATCAAAGATATAAATATAGGTTATAGGTTTCAGTGATTATTGAATTGAAGGGCGATTCCATATTAAATTACAGAATATGAACGAAACGAAAAAGAAGAGATGTATAATAATAAATGGACGTAGAGAAAAAAGCCACACACACACGCACGCAAATTGTACGGTTTGCAACAGCCGTCATCATCGTCGAGGAGTTGCGATCAAATAGCCCAGACGAGAAGAAAGAAACTACAACTTAAAGAGCAAAAAAAAAAAATTGCTGGACGTGATGATATATTGTGAGCACCGAAAAAAAAAGTTGAATTCGTTTTTTTCTCTCCACATTTTGGAATGTTTGCATGATTATTTGTTGGTTTTTCGGTATAAATGATAAATTAATGAACCTATTTGTTATGTATATACTTGTGTGCTGATTGGCTTCTTTACCTGCAAACCGATAAACTATCATAATCAACAACCAAATAACTAACAAAGAAGACATACTACATATCTCTAAACGGTCATTTTAATACGAAAACAACGGGTGCATTTTGTATATATCAACGTTATTGTTGATTCGAAATTTAAGGCATCGAATATTTCGTATAAATCGCCAACCTTATCTCTCAATGATTTTGTTACGGTATTCAAACAATCTAGGCTCAAAAAATATCGAATGTGTCTTTTTTTTTTGTTAAAAAGAAAGCGGCAAGTACGATAACGATGATAAAGAAGATAGAATTGGTACAGAAGTTGAAAATTGCCATGAACGAAGAAATTCCAATAAAGACAAACAATAAAAAAAAACAAAGATGAAACCAATTAAGATATTTGATTTCTAAATCACAATAATAAATAACAATTATGATTTTCTTCTGTTTCATCATCATTTATTTTGTGTGTGTGTATGGTGGCTTGTTGATGGCAAAATGGATATATAGTCGGCCATGAATTATGTCAGAGATAGTGAAGGAGAGGATGAAGATTTTACGTTTTTCATCCGGTTGCGGTCAATTTGATAATTTTATACATTTTTATGTTCGTTCCTTGTTTGGTTCGTTGTGGTGTCGCTTGCTGTATGTTTTTTTTGTGGCTCATTCTCATAATTCATGTTTTTTTTTCTCGCAAAAATCCATTTTTAACCCAACTTTATACATGTCTCGTCTGATATGTTGCATATATTTTTTTATTTAAAGGAATATATACATCAAGTTCACCAGAATCGGTTTGCACTGGCACACTTGTGCTATGACCACCACCATGATCAAAAGCAGCAGCAGCAGCGGTAAAAAAACACAACGAGAAACAATCTACCTGTCACTAAGTTGATTGTGCTGTTTGCTCGTTCATCAGAGAAAGAAAGAGAGAAATTCATTTTTCATGTCCTTTCATCGAATGTTGCCAAAATCTGAATCAGTTCGAAGAATAATGTGAGCACAAAATGTGTAATGATTGGATGGACATTGGTATATAAATGTCGGTTATTGTCTGCTTGCAATGCTATTTTATACTTATAATGACGAATTATTATATTTGTTCAAGGGTGTTTCTTAGCGTCAGCTTTTATTTGCTTGAAATGCAACACCAATAAATCCAAATTCTCTAATCGCATTCTCTCTTGTTCTTGTACATTTTTTTTTTGCATTTGTTTCGGTTATGAAAATATTTCAATTTGCTAATTTTCCATCGTATCTTTATCTCATTCCGGTTCGGTCGTATTCGATTTCATTTCCATCCGATTTCTGTATTTTATTTGTTGTTTTACTTCGAATCGATCGTAAAATATTTTCGTCACAATACATTTCTTTCACATTTATGTATGTGTAAATTGTTCATTTCAGTGGATTGTTTTTTGATCGTCAAATGAATCAAATCAACAATTAACCACGAAAAAAAATACCTGCTCGAGAAGAGAATAAGAAGAATATACGAACGAAAAAATAAAACCGTTAAAAAAACCAAATGCCGAGGAGCATTAAGCTGAGTTTTTCATATTTATGGTTTCGATTCGTTTGAAATCTACGCATACATACATGTATATATTGTGTATTGGTTATGGGTATCTTGACGAGGATCAAAACAGAAAGGCATTAACAAAGATTCGAAAAATCTTGATTAATATCTTTTAGCGTCGTTCATTGGAAACTCACTTAGTGGATACAGAACGAAAGACACACACACACACACACACACACACACACACACACACACACACACA